ACATATTGCCTATAGTCTGAATAATATTGGCAATATTTATGACAGCAAAGGCGAGTATGATCGTGCTTTGGACTATTATTCAAAATGTCTCAAGATGAGAGAAAAATGTTTGCCATCTGATCATCCACATATTGCTGATAGTCTGAATAATATTGGCAATATTTATGACAGCAAAGGCGAGTATGATCGTGCTTTGGACTATTATTCAAAATGTCTCAAGATGAGAGAAAAATGTTTGCCATCTGATCATCCACATATTGCTAATAGTCTGAGTAATATTGGCAATATTTATGACACAAAAGGCGAGTATGATCGTGCTTTGGACTATTATTCAAAATGTCTCAAGGTTCAAGAAAAATGTTTGCCATCTGATCATCCAGATATTGCTGATAGTCTGAATAATATTGGCAATGTTTATAACAGCATGGGCGAGTATGATCGTGCTTTGGACTATTATTCAAAATGTCTGAAGATGAGAGAAAAATGTTTGCCATCTGATCATCCAGATGTTGCTAATAGCCTCCTTGGTATAGGCAATATTTATAACAGTAAAACCGAGTATGATCATGCTTTGGACTATTATTCAAAATGTCTCAAGATGCGAGAAAAATGTTTGCCACCTGATCATCCAGATATTGCTGAATAATATTGGCAATGTTAATAACAGCATGGGCGAGTATGCTCGCGCGCTAGTGTTTTGAAAAATGCCTGATGATTCGTAGAAGGCTGCTTCCATCAGGTCATCCTGAGCGCGTCAGTGTTGAGAAGAAGCTCCCCGAAGTGAAGAAGTTCGTATAAAGGATATTTGTGCTTGACAAATGGTTATAAATACATGGCGGTTGAGCACTTGCTTAGTTGTTCACGTGTGAGTTGTTTTTGTTTTTTGAGTTGCTCGATTAAACGCAGTTTGAGACTTGTAACTTTTACTGCGAAGAAACTGAAGGCTTCGCGTTTTTCGGTTGTCTGCTTGTCTTACCAAGTAGCAGCAGTTTGTGCTCAAGTGTTTGTTTTTTAATGTTCGCTTCGAGTTTGGAGTCGCACGAATTGTAACTGTGAATTACTCTCAATCAATGTTATTTACGTTGCTCTGTGAATAAAAGAAAGATGTGGGTAGTACGTTTAATTGGGAATGAATTGGTACCGAAGATGTTTGCCGAAGCCGGGGAACGAGCTTTTTATGCGAGATATACTTGTCAAACATGTCATACAATGCATCCCTTTTGCATAAGCGTCGAATCTTACTTTTGCTTTGGAATTGGAAGCTATGAAAAATGTGCTGACAGGCACAGAATTCTGTGGGATGACTTAGTCAGATTGTAACGATATTTTATTGTTGATCTTTATCTTGAGTAAAGAGAATTCGATAAGAAAAGAAGCTAAATTTCAATTTAAAGAAATTTAAAGAAATTTTAAAGAAGTTTTGGGTTTGCCGCTTTGCAATTGTTCCAATTATCTCCCCCGTCAGACACGAGATGTCCCATCTTCTTATGTGATTGTTATTGGTGGACTGATTACACGTTGTTGAAGTTCGTCTGCTGTTTAAACAAACGGTCGTAATGATGACATATTTATTATTGAATGTATTTTGCGATGTTGTGGTAAGTCTAATTCATATGCCAGCGGTAATAACTTATTTTAAATTACAAGCAGATCGAAATAGTTTGGTCTTAGGCTTCGGTACATTTTGTTCATTAAATTAGGACGTTAACTGTTTTGTATTTAACAAAACGTAATCACCGACTTGAAACTGTTTTGATTTAATGTTTGATTATTTAAACGGTCAGTTGTTGTTGTGGTGTTATGGAATATGTTAACTGTTCAGTAATTCGTGGATGACGGCCTGCATCTAAACAAAATGGACTAAAATCTGTTGGTGTTAGTATCGAATTATTATAAGCAAATTTTATTGGTGTTAATGTCTCATCCCATTTCTCTGGTTGTTGTGCTACATAATGTCGTAGCATTTCTTCTACAGTTCTATTTAATGTTTCACCTTGTCCATCTGTTTGGAGGTGAAGTGCCGTTGATAATGAAGTTTTTGTTTCTATATAAGTAAACAGAGTTTGTCAGAATAAACTTGTGAATTTAGTATCACGATCACTTATAATGATTCTGGGTAAACAATGATGTGGAAATATTGAAAATAAAAAATGTCGTAAGGATGGATAATGATGAGCTTGATAAATTTTATTTTATTTTATTCAACAAAGAGAAAGACACCTGTATTGATGATTAAAATTAACTATAAAAAAGTAATAAATCGCGTTGTTAGTATCAAGTTCATTTTTTCTTCGCGATCAAGAATGATAAATTATCATTTGGATCAGTATGAACCTTGGCTTTACAATTCTTGGTTTTACAGATCGAATATATTTTCGAAGAGGTTTGTTTATTGAATTTGTAAATAAAACCATCCCGAATCCGTTGTCGATAACCTTTGTTGGAATCAAGAAAAGATATAGCACTTGTATTAGTGGACATCACACAGTCGAAGGATTAAGTGGTGAAAGTACAAAAATGTGTATTGCAATATGTAGAAGCAACGAAATATATAGAAGGCCATAAAACAATGCTGCGAAAAAGAGAACGTGAAAAAAAGACGTCTCTATTTTTCTTTTTCTGTTCTATATATATGTTACAGTGGAAATTAAAATTCAGTGGAATTTAAAATTCCACTAGTGAAAATTAAAATTTCAATCTTCACTAGTGGAGTTTAAAATTTCAATTTCCACTAAGAAGAATCCAGTAAAAATTGAAATTGTAAGTTCGACTAGTGGAGAATAAAATTTTAATCTCCACTATAGTGGAAATTATAATTTGACTGTCATGATGCTGATAGTAAAGGTAATACGATCTTTTTTATTGAAAATATTATTAACAATCACAAATATTTTTTTAACAGCATTAAGCATTTGAACACACACACTGTTTTTTGGGTGACATTTTGTACAACATTTTATGCCTTTAGCTCGACATGGACAACTTTTTGTCGCACAGCCCCGTTTACAATTGCACGCTTCCGCAATTGTATTTCCACCTGTACTAGCGTAACCTTTACAAGCGTGGATGAATGTAACAACGGGTAAACATTTGACTTATAACTAACTGTGTGAACTTCTATGTCTGGGTTTCATAGTCATGGAAGGTCGTTCACAGATATAAGTTCCAAAAGTCAGCGGAACGAGCGAGTGCAGACGAGTGTTACCTTGTATGCTCTGTTCCTTTGACTTTAGTGTTGGATATTACAAAATGGCTGTCTGTGTGTGCGTATAATACGAAAAAATGGCTGTAACATTTTCAATTCCCTACATAAGTCAATCCCAAGAGAGAAAAACAGAAAATTGTTTGTTAACCACAAGAGAGAAAATATTCAAAGAGATGACTAAGACACTAGGTCAGTCTGTATTCTTTAGTTAAATTTTTCATATTGAAAAGAAGATACAAGTACAATCTATGTATACTTATCTCATACGTAGCACCTTTCACAAGTTTTTATAAGTAAAAAGTGTTGAAAAAGCTTTTCCTATGTGTATAAAAGACTTGATAAGACGCGGATGCATGGATTCCAGTCAACAGCCGTCTCGGCATTCACTGAGTAGATAGTAGGGAAAGCAGGGTTCATCAGTTGTAAGACTGACAAGGTAAAGAAGACTAGTTACGTCTCATTTTTCTCAATCGTATACAGAGAAAATGAAAATGGAGCGGTGAGTTTTGCGTGTATTTCACAAATGAACATAAAATGTGTTCGTTGGTCGGGAGGGGTGAGGGGGTGGGAAGATGAGGGTGAGTGGATATATAAGATACAACAGCAAGTGCTAAGAATATCGCGTAGTTTTAGAGGTTTTGGTCTAGGTGCATGCTTTATTAGTAAATAAATATGTTCCAAATCTACAGTCATCGAATATCAAAAGTTCTCGTACTGAATGTGAACCAGCTTCGGTAGTTATCAAAACGGTTTCACAACTAAATCCCAGATCCGCTGATTCTGGCAGAAAAATTCTGCTTTTTGAAATTTTTTCTGCTTTGTTTCTGCTCTTTTTCTTACTGAGGTGTTCTGATTTTTCATTTCTTTTTGTGAGCTTTTTCTGATTTTTACCTTTTATTTTGTGATATCCCTGATTTATATGTTCAACTAAAACAAGACGATTTTGCAGCTTCATTTAACACGGAGTTACTGAAGCAGCGTAAGA